TAAAAAAAATTTCTAATTCAAATTATAACATTTGCAAACTTATAATTATTCTTGCATCATTGCACAATGAATGATATAATGATTCTTTATTCACTCTGGGACACACAATTTACATAATTTGGAACTTTTGATAATCCTATTTTATCATTATTGTTATTGCTGCTTGTATCAAGTGTTTTTAATTGTATCAAGCGCTTTTAATTACGTCAAGTGGTTTTACTTACGTCAAGGGCTTCAAATCGTCAAAATGACCCTGGTGAAAAACTACCTTTAGTCAATATTTTAGTTACGTCAATGACTAAAGTCAAAAGTTTCGTCATACATCATTAGAGTCAATTCCAATGCTTCATGAGGTTTCAGCTGGAATATAGGTTAGATTCGCTGAAAAAACGCAAAGCATTATCTACACAGATCTTTGATACACTGTGGGTTATATAATATGTTTATTTTTTCCTTTAACTTCATTGTATAAGTCAAACCATAATATTATATTAATGTACTATTTCTTTTAGACATAGAATATGGGTTACGCCTAAGTATAAGTTATATAAAGAGACACCCATCAATGAGACCTCTTATATGTGTGAAGTATTGACGCCATTATTCAGCATAGCCATGAGCAGATTACCTGTAGAATGTATGGCCTGGAGTGTCTTTTCCATATTTTTCTAATTGTAAAGAGGAAATTCAAATTTGATACTCTATCTGCATAATCGATCAGATAATTAATATGTCGTGTGGCTGTGCAATGAAATTATGATTTATAACCAAATTTAATTACCTCATGGTCATACTGTGAAAAATTTTAGATCTCGATACGTGAACCGCCTGATCATTAAAACGCATGCATGATTTATAACCAAATTTGAAATTTGATTAATTACCTCATGGTCGTACATTTCTGTGAAAAATTTTTTTTACTTTTTTTTTATGTGTATTGTAACTATCCTCGTCAGCATTCCAATTATTCTTCTCGTGGTTTGGATCGCGGTCATTAATCTTACTATTGCTGGACTTGTGGTATGCAACAAGCAAAACTAACCCTTATCTTATTTGCGCAAGTAACTTAAGGTTACCTCATATACTATTTATTATAGTTCTTTCCCATTTCTGGTGTTTTTCTTTGGATTACAATCATCAACTATATTGGTTATCTTATCTTCACTAGTGTTCTGAAGGGTCTAGGTGAGTTTTGATAATCAAATTTGAGCAATATAAAATTATTATTACCATCTTTTTTTTTAAAAAATTTTTTTTCTAACTACTGGTATAGATATGTTGAAAGCCAATGGTAAGAAAATAGATTTTAATAATTTAAATCTCGATCGCTCATATACCCTTGAAGAATTTGAATTCATCAATGACCAACTCAAGACACGCATTCTAGAAATTGATGGACATCCAGTTAACCTTTTTGATCTCGACAAAAACGGCAAGCTTATCCCTATGCCACAATCACCTTACTCTAGAGAAAAAGTTGTTGCTGAAATCGTTAGACAACTTAGTAATTGGAATATCTGGACACGGCAAAATGGGGGCGTTACCTCATCACAGGGAGGATTTGATTTTGATGTTGGAGGTGGTAAAACAATCAGAGCGCCAGATATTGCTTATACACCCAAAGAAATAGATTGTCAATTGGATGCACAACAGAATTGGAGTTTTAAAGGTGATCCTTTCACCCCTATATTTGTTATCGAAGTCGGAAACATTTCAACTCATTCAAAGTTTGAGGAACTTGATAGAAAATTCAAGGATGTATATTTCGCGGAGGGGACCTCTGTACAATTGGGATGGTTAATAGATCCAGAAAATAAAGAGATCCACGTATATAGAAGGGATCGATGTCGTATTAATCATGGATGGAAAAATGTTAATGCTGAGGATTTTTTACCAAGGTTTACTTTAGAAATATGGAAAATCGAACATGTAATTTCACAGGTGCGTTTTTATTATTTTTTACTTTTTGACATACAATCAATTTTATCATTTGTGTATTTCTCGGTTTAATTACAGAAAGAATCAGTATCACCAGAGCCCACAGGAGACGATAATACACCACGCAATTGCCCTTTCTGTTCAGAAACCTTGACTGATGTATACGTTATGTTTAAACATATTGAGAATAATCATGCATACAAACGAAGATGTTGATTAGCATTTATTACTTCCAGGAGAAATGTACATTTACAGATGCTTTTTTCAGTGTAATTAATTCAATAAATAGTATCTATTTGTTTTTCGCCATTTTGCGGGTTATATTAGTATTGTGAATATTTCCTCCAGTACATTCGTGCTATTTGTAATTATATATGGCATGTATATTCCTGAATACATATTAATATATATCAATAATTTTTGAAGCGTCAATCAATTTTATTTTATTAAATGTTAGTATATATTAAATAAAAAATAAATAAATAAAATTTTTTGTATCATAGACACTACTAACTCCACTATTATATTGTGGCAAAATTTGCATTTATGAAATATAAACTTTTGAACATATCTGCATCTTATATAAAATAATGGGAAACACCAAATCCGAACTAGATTTATTGAAAAAGGAGAATGGCAGACTTATGGCTAGAATCGTAGAATTGGAACAGATTGCGAAAGAAAAAGGTGAACTTGAGGTTAGAATTGCGGAATTGGAACAGACCACAAAGTTAAGTCAGACAGAAAATGCCGAGCTCAAGGCAGAAATTGCAAATTTAAAACAATCTGTTGAGAATATTGAGAAGCAAAATCGAACTGTTACTAATGATTTAAAGTCTCTGGAATATTCCATTTCATTGCCCAGCAAGAATTGTTCAAGTGGTGGAAATGCACAGATTACCGTTTTTTCAGCTCACCAGGAAGCAACTTCAGAACAGATAGATGATACAATTTCCGATACATCTAACCTTAATGAAACATGCTCTAGCAAATCTAAATCATTAGAAGATAAAGAAATTGATGACTTTTTAGATTCGGAAAATAAGAAAAGGATTAATGATGAGATAAGGCAAAGGAATAAGGAAAAAAAGCTATTACATAATAAGGAAACTTCCACTTCTCAGGATCAAGACTTACCTTTAGTTAATCAGGACACTTCAACGGAATCTGAAAAGATAATGACATCCTCATCATTATATGATGCAAAAACTGTGACAAAATGTCACAATCAAAACCATGCCTTGGCAATTCTGATACTACCTCCGAAATACTTGAATCAGATAATCAAATTGTAGAAGGTTTGACATAGGGATGACTTGTATTCATGCACAAAGTATTGTCTCCTCCGAAATTAACTCCACATATTCAAATAACAGTAAGTCTTGTATGCGGGATATGGTTCCAGGCTCTGTACAAAGTTTATCAGACTTATTTTATAAAGCAATTAAATTAGGTCAGAAACAAATTTTATGTTGGTATTATTATTCTCTAGAATTCGAAAATAAGGTTAAAAGCCTTACAGCAGATGGCAATATTAAAGATAAAACAGCAAGATCAAAAATATATAAGGAAATGAAACCTTTTCTACCTAATATTACAGATGTAAATTTGCGTAAGAAAACCGAAAGAGCAAGAAAAATTCTTAAGCTATTTGGTGATGGAAGAGTAAGTATAGATAAAATCAAATACATTACATATAGTGCAAGTACTATTTCGGGATTGAAAGATACTCAAATTCAACATATTATAAATCAGGTGACTTCAAAACCGTGACAAAATGTCACGATCGGAATAATTCTGAAATAAGTGAATCCATCACAACTCCTATCCCTTTGTCTATATCCCAAGTCTCGGATTCTTCAGATGTGAAAGCCAAGGTAAGTATACCAACTGTATTTCATCCCGAAAAGGTTTTATTAGAAACTGTAGTAAGTGTAT